CACACCTCTTTCTGTTCTCACACACATTGATGTTGTTCTTTTACTTATACCAGGCAGCACTTGTGAGTTCTCCACGGTGGGCATCTGCTCTTCATGGGACAGGAGACTGAGCTCTGAGCAACCCTCTCAGTGCTTGTGGCTCTGCACAGCCACCCCAAACCTGCAACTCTGCAGTCAGCTGGACCAGCCCCAACAGAGCTGTGGTGTTCCATTTGTGTAATTAATATAGCTCCTAAAAGATGACTGCGTGTCTAAATGATAGACCGTTAATGGCTCCAGGGAGCTCTCGTGGCTCATCCTTATAATCAACTCTTTAGATTCCAAAATAGACGCACGGTGAAGCCTTTCTTGTCACCGCAGGGTGACCTTCTCATAAAAGGCTCTTCTCTGCCTCGGCTGTGATCTCACTTTCTGTCAAATGTTCATATTTTAGTCTAACCCTATAAAGTTAGGAAGTTAAATGCTTTTTGGCACAGGCACGTTTTAGTTCAGTGTCATCTTTCAGCAGCATCTGCTTCTGCAAATAGCAGTGATCGATTTTTGTCTTCAGCTGCCTGTTATCAAAATTTTAAAGATATAGCAGTGTGACTCTTGTGTTGAATTAATAGCAGATCATCTTTGGAAAGATGACACTGCTGTTAAGTGCAAAGATTGACAAAAAGCAATTCAGTCGTGCTGGGATGATAATTGATTTGGTGTAATGTCTTTCTGTCTCCGGGAGCATTTCTGTCGGTCTTAGCTGCATATGCACCCTATGGAGATCACAGCAGCCGGTGAAATGTCAGATATCTTAGATCTGTATTCCAGCTATTTTTCCTTTTATATTATCCTTTTTTTTCCAGTTTTTTGTCAGTTAGCAATCTGTATTTAATCAGTGAAAACAAAACCCAAACCAGCACTAAATAAAGACACAGTGTTACGTGTTGATGCATAGAAATGTATTAAAATTGGTGGCAAAATGTTGCTTGTGCTTGCAAGGCCTAAGGTGACTGCAGGGTTTGAGGTGTCTGACAGTGGGTGTGAAGAGCATGAGTTGCAGAGGCACTTGACTTGGCAGGGATCTTTGGAGGTCATTGATCTGATCCTCTGCGTGATGCCTGGGACAAGTACAATGTCAGATCTGATTTCTCGGGGTCTTGCCTAGTCACTCCAGCCCTGCTCTGTTGCACAACCTTCCCTGTTGTGAAACTTTCTTCCATATGTTCAACCGAGCTGCCCTTGCTGCAGTTCACACTGTTCCTCTTATGCTTTCACTAGGGAGAGCAAAGGGGTCAGAGAGCAAGCTCATTGCCCTGCACTTCAGGAGAGCAGATTTTGGCCTCTTCAGGGATCAGCCTGGTAGAGTACCATGGGATAAAGCCCTGGAGGGAAAAGAGGCCCAAAGAAGCTGGTTAATATTCAAGGCTCACCTCCTCCAAGCTCAGGAGTGATGCATCCCAAAAAACAGAATGTCAGGCAAAATTGCCAGGAGGCCTGTGGGGTGAACAAGGAGCTCCTGTAGAAACTCAAAGACTAAAAAAGAGAGTGGAAAAAAGGACAGGTAGCCTGGAGGAGGAGTACAGAGAGGTTGTCTGCGTAGACACAGATCTGGTTAGGAAAGCTGAAACCATGATAGAATTAAATATGGTCAAGGGCATTAAGGGCAGCAAGAAAAGCTTCTCTAGGTATGGAATTTTCCCTGGTCTTCCTTCTATCACTGACAGCACTGAGCTGTGTGGTGCAGTTGACATGCTGGAGGGAAGGGATCCTGGAGTGGCTGGAGAGCTAGACCTGGGCAAACCTCATGAATTTCAACGAGGCCAAGTGCAAATACTGCAGTTCTTGTTAAAACACAAGATATGGGGAAATGAGCATGATTGTTTTAACTAACACTTGGAATTAAGCTCTGTTTTGAGTGAACAGTCTTTACAAAAATAAATAGAAAAGCTCTGAATAAGCCAATGTCAGTGAAGTGAAACATTTGCTTTCAAAGTCTCCTGTGCTACAAACAATAGTTTTCAAAACAGAGAATATAAGCATGATGTAGATTTTCTTTTCTTTCCCCCTAGGAAGTCTGGATTTCTGAGATCCAGGCTGGCTGTCAGTGAGCTGTGTATAGATTAGCCTGGGTAATTATGAATTCCTCTCTTTCTGCAAAATTAGTTGGTGTTAAACATTGCCATGATTGGCCATAATAACTTACCTCCTGCTTCAAACAGGCTGAGCTGCAGCAGAGTACAAGGGGTGTGTTTACTTCAATCTAAATAAATGTTTTATCACTCGGCAGTAATTGGATTGCGATTGTATTGCAGTAATTATTCCCAACAGCAAATCTGTTCTCCACTTCGCAGACGTGTTCCCTGCCTGACCTTCACGCTGCTGGTCTGAAGGTGTCTTTCTTGATCTAATTATGTATGATGAGGTTTTTGGGTTTGTTTTTTTAAAAAAGAGAACTACTGCCAGGGGTAGAATAATTTGTCTTTGCTCCACTTGTCATGGTGCAAAAGTATGAGCACTTCAGTTCATGCTTGAGCTTTTAGCTGGCCCTGGAGAGGCAGCGCAACGCAGGGCTTTGTCAAAATGACATTTCAGGCCGTGCAGAACCACACTCCTCTCAGTATCACGACCCAAATATCCTGCCAAGATTTGTCATACTTTGCAGAAATTTGTTCTGTATTTAACGTGTCTATAGACAAATAATTTCCTAAAGTGTCTCGTAGCCGACCAAGGAATTCATCCACTTGTCTGAGCATCAGACAGAGTCTGCCAGGGAAGTTCTGGATCACTGGATGGCAATTTTACGTGCACGAAAAATACTCTGTGATTAAATCTTAATGAGTTTCCAGAGTAGCTAATATTTTTTCAAGAGGAAAGCACTGCTGAATGTCCTTAGAGAGGTCTGTCTTGTGGCAGCTTGCCTTCTGCACGAACTCTTGTAGGAGAGTCTCTGCCTTACACAGACCACACCAGCCCATCACAGAACAGCTCCATCCCCTGGCTGCTTGTCTGAAGCTCTAAACTTTTGTTTGATTGCCTGCCAGACAGATTATATATATTTCAAACATATGACATTCAACGATGAACTTATTTCCACAGTCCAGAATTGAGCTATTCTGATGCCATTTTCGGTTAACTCTAGTCCTAATCCTTCTTTCTGAAAATGGTGATTTCTGCATCACTTAAACATATGTTTCAAGTATGAGTAACCTACTCCAGCATCTAGAGGACCATGTTTTATCAGAACAAAACCATTTGCTAGGTTGCAGTGCTTATATCCATGATGCTCACAGGTTTTGGTGAAGCATTTTGTCATCAGGAGCAGTGCAGTGGCATTAAGCTGTGAGCAGCGTTTAGCTGTGTTTGCAGCTGTCAGGGTCTTGTGCTGCAGCCCTGTTAAAGCATGCTTGCTGTGCAAGCCTGTCTCTTTGTTTGGATGGAAACTCTTTACAAGATATTAGCTGTGCTGTAACTCACAGGACAGGCCAGTTCAAGTGTGAGGAGTCTGAGCAGCATCTGATGCTGGGCTGATTTCACTCCTATTTCAGAAGAAATCTTCCTTTGGAGATACTGGAAGTCTTTTTTGCCCTTGACTTGCTCTGAAGTTACATTATGTGTTTTCTTCCTGTGTTGGCTTTTTTTTGCTGTCTCTGCTAGGAATCAGTATTTCCATCCTCTCACGTTTCATCACTTCCTTCCCTATTGCATTGTTGTCACCCTACAGCTGAAGCTGCAGCCCGTGCAGAACCCACCTCTGCTTTCTCCACACAGCACTGGGGAGCTGCTTTGGTGGGGGAACTTGTGGCCTTGTGTTTCTTCCTGCAGCGATGGAAACCTGTTTGCTGAATGGATTGCTAGATTTATTTGTGTGTAATGGTTCTTGAATGACATGAGCAGGGATTCGGATGGTGCAATGGCTAAAGGAAGAAAGATGAATAAGTGCTCATACCCCTAACACCACCAACTACCCAACATACCAGAGCACCCTGTGAGGGTGTAGTTTTACTAGCTCTTAATGGATCAGCAGCATTCTCCCTTTTCCTTTAACTCCTGCTTGTTCTAAAGAATATTTTAGACAGGTGAGAATGGTATAGATTGAGTTGTGCTAAAGCCTTGTGCTCTCAGCTGCATCTGTTCTCCCCCATCAGTATGGGCGAGGTCTTTGTCTTCTAGAGTGGTGCTTGGGAGCCTTGTGACACCTGCTCTTAAAAATCAAAATATTAATGGGGTTATTTTGACCTCTCTGTACCCTTACCCATTTATTATTACCCCAAGTTTCTTAAATACATTCTAGAATTGAATGGTTAATCTATCTGATTTATATGAGTAATGCACTAAGAAAGTGTGTTCAGAATTAATTTGCAAAAAGAAAACTAGGGCAGTAAACCTGAAAACTTACTGTTTATAAAAAGAAAGAAAAAGAAGTTTTGCAAGCTAATTAAGCCTTTCTACACAATGTAGAACACAAGTACTTCTATCCAAGGCAAGTTATGTGATATTTGTAAGGTATTTGTGTCTTTGAAAGCATAATTTTTGTCATGTTCTGTTCATAAATATAAATGTGGGTTTCTGCTTGTAAAACAGCACTGTTCAGTTTTGGATCTTTGCTTATTTTGCAGTGCATGGAATCTGGCTGGGATGAAAAACCCCAGCCTGTCTCATCGGCAGCAGCTCAGTTCAGTTCAGTTCTAGCATTCAGTGTGTGAGGCATGAGGTTACCTGGCAGTGTGCTGTGATGGATGGATTGCAGGTCCAGAGGCCAAGGCCTCCAGCATCGTAATCACCTCTGTGCTGGGCTTTAAGCTTCCCTTCCCCAGTTTTCTCACTGTGCACTCAGTTTTATGATTGAAAAGCTGCTGAAAAATACTGGTTTAGTAAGTACTTTAGTAGTACTCTGTGATTTAGTGTGTGCTAAAAAGATAAAATCACTTTTGGGCATGATGTAGAGCTGTATAACCAAAACTATGTTTTTCAAAATAACTCTCTTTAAATTTTTTTTCTTTTATTATATTTGATGTTTCCAGGGAGGGATGAAACAATGCAGCCAGCCAAACCATCATTCCTTGAATATTTTGAGCAGAAAGAGAAGGAGAATCAAATCAATAGCTTTGGGAAGAATGTGTCTGGCCAGACAAAAAATTCATCTGATTGGAAAGTACCACAGGACGGAGACTACGAATTTGTAAGTCTATACTTTGAAATTCAATCAATGTGACAATCTTTAGGAGTTTTAGTCAGAGCTGCTGTAAGATTATTTCTTGTTTTGACAGACTAATGGAAACTTGAGAAGTTTCTAATTGCCAGTGCATTTGGTAGGGGCATTTTGAAAAATTCCTATTCTTTCAGTATTTCTCAGTAATCATAATCAGTCATTATCTGTGTACTTTCCTTGTTTAAAAGCAAACAAACGAACAAAAAAGCCTGAGGACATGAAGATACAAGCTGTCTTGCTTTAATTTCCCATTGTGGTTTAAAATTTAAAAAAAAATAAAATTCCAGATGGCAGTTGGAAAATGCAAATCCTCAATGTGCAACGTTTGACAAAGAACACTGTTAGAACCACTGAATTTCTTTGTTTTCCTCAAGTTTTGGCACTGGGTTTTGTTTTACTGTATAAACATTGAGGTTGCCTTCATTTCTCTTTCAAATCCTTAATTTCACTCTTCCTAAGGTTCACATGCTCGGAATTTTCAATAATTTTTCAGAATTCCAAAGAAATCATAGAATTTCAGGGTTGGAATGGACCTTACAGATCATCCAGTCCCAACCCCCTGCCCTGGGCAGAGAGAGACACCTCCCCACTAGATCAAGTTTCTCAAGGCTCATCCAGTCTGGCCTTGAACACCACCAAGGTTGGGGCATCCACTACTTCCCTGGGCAACCCGTGCCAGTGTCTCACCACCCTGATAGAAACATCTGTTATTCATGCATTTGATTAATTTTGTGTGTGTGTGAGGTTTGAGTTCAAAATGCCAGCAGATGCATTCTCTGCTGAGCGGTGTTCCCTCCACGTTTTCATTCAGTGATCCTTCACTGGGAGCACTTGTTGCTCTGGGTGCACTGTGTGCCCTTACTCTGCCTGTTCGTGCTGCCTGTGGTTCAGGTTGTCACACTGTCAGTAGTTGAGGAGGTTCACTCCACCTTCACAAAGTGTCAAATCAAAATCTCTCTGCTAGTCACGACTCGAGTTGCTTTACTTTAAGGCTGAAATAATAGCTGGACCCTTTCCTTCCCTTTGTACAGATTGTATAGATTTACTGCTGTTACATAGGATTTGTTGTCTTTGCTGCTGCTTTTCATGTTTTCTTATTCAGGCTGCAAAGGATGGCTGAAGGGGACCTGCTGTGTTCTCTCCCTTGTAACCCTTTGCACTGTGTTATCTTTAGCCTGAAGGCTTAAAATCACTGCATAAACATGTTTTGCAAAAATAACCCCCAAGCTGCCTGTGTCTCACAGGGTCTGGGCCAAACACACGGTTCTAGTTGACTCTGATACTTCATTTATCTCCTTCACCTTACATGTTGTACCTTAATTTAATGATAAACAACTGTTTTTCAAGTGTGCTGTATCTCCAAGGAAAGATGGGCTGGTTTGGAGTATCTTGAAAGGCTTTGGTAGTCTGCAGACCATGGCCCAAGGGGAAATTTGCTGTAATTATTTTACTTTCTAATTTGGCTGATAACAAGTTTAGCAATTTATTTCCACTGAGTGGGGTGGATTCCACAGTGCACAGTGGGAGCTGTAGGTGCAGACTGCGCCCAGGGAGCACAGACAGCATGGACAGCACGAGGAAGGGTTGGTGCCAATCCAGCAAATGGGACCTACAAATATTTTTAGAATGTGCAAAGCAACTGTTTGACACACGTGACCTTGTTTACTGATTTCCATTAGGTCTTGCAGTACTGCCATGTGCACAGATTACCAGTGTGCTGGAAGCAATAAAAGTGAGCAATGAATTGGCCTTTGGGTCACTTTCCTGTAGTAATTTGTAGAAATTTCACTTCCCAGCTGTATGTATTTTTCTAGATCAGTTGTGGATGAATATACCAGCCTGCCTTGCATGCAAATTTTGGAGCAGAGCTACTTTATTTTCTGTAGGATAAGAAAATTGCTTGAAAGCAACCTTAATAAATAACGTGGGTGTTTGTATAGCCTTTATCTGAGGGTTTGTAGCAGCAAGCTCACCTTGTTATGCATTAAAAGACTTAAAACTGTGTGGTTTTCCCATTTGGCAAAAAAAAAAAAAATTTATCCATTTGATGTCTAGCTATGGGTAAAAGTCATCTTTATTAATGGTTCATTAATTGAAATCATCAATGCAATAAGCATTGTGGAGTAAGAAAAAATGCTATTCCCTAGGTGTACCCAGTACATCTGTCCTAGACATGCCTGCAGCTATAACTTACTTCTGCATTGTCAGTCAGCAGGTTTGAGCAGCCTTTGTCTATAGAGTTTGCAGCACTCCAAGAAGAGATGAGATCAGTGAGATGCTGGGTAAATACTCTTTCCTCTGGGCCTTAAGAAACGATTGAAATATTATTGCTTTGTGCTGCTGCAGACTAGATAAATATGCCTTCTCTTCTGTATTCCTCTCCCTCCTGTGTGACTAGCACCTGGAGTCTCCTGTCTTCCAAAAAGAAAGGGCAATATTAAATTGCAAAAGATTTTTGCTCATTTCTCTGTGGAAAAGCCATTTGACCTTTTCTTGACTAACACTGTTGCTCTGAAGCAGGCAAATAAGACACTATTTATATCACGATGGCAATGTCATGTTAGATGAGGGTTAGATGGAGGCAACCCCATCCACTGCAGAGGTGAAAACCCAGAGATCCTGTTCTTAAGTGATGAACCCCATTCCTCCCAGAAGTGATGCTCTGGCTGTGTCCTGGTTGTGGTTGGAGATGGCATTAAGCAGAGTATTTCCAGCAGGATATTTCCAGCCTTGGGTTTCTGAGGTAGAAGTTGTTATTAACTGATTAGTCAATGCCTGATGCTGTTAATGTTTATCCCCACTCACATTTGAACAAGGATCTCTAAAGATTTAAGCCCTGCTTGATTGCAAACAATGTTTTCAACAACATTATGATTTATTTAGCACGGGGGAAAAATACTAATTATGGGTAAAATTTCTTGGGTTTAGGAAGAATATAACAACCTCTAACAGGAGGCTGCTGCAGGGGTAGGCTGCTAATGGGCAGGCTGCATTGTATGGAGAATTCCTAATTGATGTAATCAGATATCAGAGTTTTTGTAGTTGAATTTAATTTCACCAGTGAACATTAGTCACATGCTGTTTACAGACTTAATAATGCTAGAAGATTTGTTTAGACAATGTCCTACATTTTTTCACTTTAATCTTTCAGTAGTACTGTAACATGGGAAAATTAATTGTGGAGTGTTTCCTTAAACACAACAACCGTTTTACTTATTCCTATTTTTAAAGCCTTTTAACTGCTCTGAGCAGGTCAGGATTCTAATATCACTTGTGGCTAAAGTGGGATCACTTGTTTTTATTCTGGTGCTGCTTGAAAGGCCTTCAGTCTTGCCAAACCTATTGTAGAACATATTTGTGGATCATCCAGTCATGAATGTGGTGTATTACATCACTAATCCTTTTATTGAGAGCCTGTTTTGTTAGCAAATTAGCAGGTGCCAGCCACTCCTGGCTTATGGGAGCTGTAGCAACACTGAAACCTTTTCAGTTTTGTTTCATCGATGTGCTTTCACCTGCACAAGTGAGTGGCAGTCGATCCCCAGTCAATCTCAACTTTTGCCACCATGATGCAACTGCAGCATTTGTTTTAATGTGTTGAGCTTAGGTTTTGCTGTTACAATTTTTCATCTATCAGTGAATCTTTGCTAATCATGTATCCTGAGGGCTTGCTTTGGATGTGGAGTCAAATGGATCAGCTCCCATGTTTCCATGCTGTGAGTGCCATTCTCTGCACTAGCTCATCTTTCCAGCTCCCTGAGAAGTGTCTCACTGGCTGCTGATGGGAATTTCTTTGGATAGGAAAGATTGCTGTGATTTCCCTTGGTTCCAAAACAGGCTTTATCACTTTTCAGTGCAGTGTCATCTGTTTCTCTACTGCTGGGAAAGACTGTCCTGCAGACATTCAAAATGTGGCTTCTGAAATTTTTCCAGGGCAAAATAAGGAAGGATGAGCAGGAGGTGTTAATTGCCTCTGACTGGGGGGAAGAATGCGAGTGCTGATCAGTTGCCACTTTTGTCAGGGCTGCACAGTTGGATGCCCCATGTACAAGCAACAGTTCTTGTCTTCACCTCTCCATCTGCCAGGCAGAGCTGGGCAGAGAAGGGGCTTTGTTGAGTTACTGGAGTTGTGGGATCAAACCCAGCTCATTCCCTTTGTCCCAGTGGTTTGGTGAACCATCATCCAGCTCCTACAGCTTCCTGCTCCAAGGAGCCCCAGGCAGGACTCGGTGTAAGGAAACAAAACCAGGGACCACACTAAGTGATCTACAGACACTTTCAAAGCAAAGATGTCTCTTCCCCCAGCAGCATATCTCTTTCCAGTAACCAGTTGTCTGGCCTGTTGCTTCCAGAGTGCTCAGGGCTACAGCTTGCTGTTGGTACCTGAATTCTCCATGGAATGTGCTCTTTAAAACTGACCAGTTTTGAAATGAGACATTTTTGTTTTGAAAGCGTCTGTAGACCGCTTACTGTGGTCCCTGGTTTTGTTTCCTTACACCGAGTCCTGCCTGGGGCTCCTTGGAGCAGGAAGCTGTAGGAGTTGGATGATGGTTCACCAAGCCCCTGGGACAAAAGGAGTGAGCAATAGAATCGTATTTCACACTTGCAGTCACAGTTTGTTCAGATAAGGGACAGAGTGATAGCCTGGCAAAGGGCTGAAGCACAGCATCAAGGAAACACTTAAATTTTAATGAAGTCCAGTTTCTAAAAGTGTGTTTGCATCTTTTGGAGTTCTTAAATTCTCTGCACTGCAAGAGTTGGTATCACAACTGCAGCCTCCTTTGAATAACTGCATGTCCATTTATGCTTAATTAATAGGAAACCATGACATTTTATGTGTGTCTGTAAGCAGCTTCTAGCCAGAGCTTTTAACAGCTGCTGCTTAAATCTTTCCTTTTTACAAATATAATGTAAGTAAAAGCAAGCCTTCCTCTTTCCTGAGTGAAGGTGTAATTGTTTCTCTTGAAGTT